TGATCGTCGCTTGCAATTTTGTGAAACTATGAGTGAACGAGTGGCGAATGATAATAATTTCCTATTTAATGTGTGTTTTTCGGATGAGTGTACTTTCTTTTTAAACGGTGTAGTTAATCGGCACAACTGTCGGTGCTGGGCTGAGGACAATTCCAGGGTTTTTCACGAGGTGCACACACAAAACCCTCAGAAATTGAATGTGTGGGCTGGTATTTTTGGAAATTCTATTATGGGTCAGTTTAACGATATTGAGAAGAATTTCAACGCACAAGTCACAGAACAGCTATCTAGCAAATACCGCATCTAATCGTTTAACCTTGTGGCAAGTGAAAAAATGCGTAAACATCTAGAAATAATAAGAAAAAAACTCAAATTGGTCGAAATAATTTATCCTTATCATTTATTCTGATAAATGTTTAAATAAACTTTTCAAATTTCAATCCTTCATATTTTCTCAATGACTCTACCGATTTTCAAAAACGAGCCGGGGAACTATAGAGAATAGAAAGCTCTTTTCATTGCGGCACCATTTGACCCCCCTTCCCATTTGAAAAAAGTTGGGGGATGACACCCCCGCTTAGAGGGTTGAAGATTTTGTAATCATTTTTGGGGCAAAAGTTGTCCCCCTCACAAACAAAATTGACGTGTTTTTGGATTTTTTGAAAAAAAAATACCCTGACCGTTATGTCTTGCCGAACGTTTTCGATGGGCTACCCTGTATATGTAGGTACTTTATATATCCTATATACGTCGATACTAGTTTTGTAACTTTTGTCAACATTTTAATATATTTTTTTTGTAATTAGTTAGTATGATATCAAGGTAGTATGATAGGGGTAGACAAAACATTTATCAAAAATATAAATATTTCTTCAAAACAGCTAAGTTAAGAAAAATTTAAGCACGGCACTGTTTGGAGGAATGGTAACAATTTGGTCTCGGGTATTATTAGTCCTTGTATTATTTAGTCGTTGCCTTATAGTCACATACAGATAATTTGAGAGTTTTTTTTATAAAGCTTTTTTGATGGGATTGGATATATTTTTCTTTCTTTAAAGCTAAAAGTCAAATATTGAAGGACACCCTGTATACAACATGTGATGTTTACTTGAACAAAAGTTTGTTAGAAATACATCTCAACTAATTCACGTAATTTTAATAGTAATATTAATAATTTAAAAAACATGGCGTTTTAAAAAGTAAATTTTAGAGGTTAAGGTTTTAAACACTTATTCAATTTGAAGCACAAACTATTATAACATTAACGAGTTAGTTAGAATTAAAATGAGAATAAATAAAAAATAGCGCGATAATGTGACGGGTGTCAGATTATTTCAGACAAACTTTCTGTAAATAACTTGTAAATAGTTTTAAGATAATCGATGAACTTTGTAAATTATAGCTAAACTGGGGGGGAAATGAAACAGAAAAGATCGATTTATTGTTGAGAAAATATATAATATTAGAAGAAAAATGTGTTTTTGTTAGTTTTAGAACCTTATTTTAGAAGATTTACCTTAAAAAATGCTTTAATCTACGACACATAACATCCCCCTTTAGAACTTCGTCTGTCATGTTAAGAAATGAAAGTAAATAATAAAGCGCCTCTCGTGTTTGTTCGCACTCAAAAAATTTCAATTGATGCCTGATATTTTTAATATATTTTTTAGATTTACATTTTTTTAATTGTAAAGTAATACATTAAATTTAAATGGAATATATTACATAACAATTATGTCAATTACAGGATTACAAGCTTGTTTTCTAACATTTTTTAAATAAAACGAATTATAAATTTTCAATATAATAATATGTATATTTGTCGTAGGTATGAAAAAAGTAAAATATAAAATGGACAAACGCTTACTTACATTGCAATAAAACTTTCACTTTTAGTTTTGCAATCCAAACGCAATATTTCTATTTCACAAATAAAAATATCCGACAACACTAAAATCACTGAAACCTCCGCGGCTGACAACGAAAACTGAAAAATATAACGGCACTTTTTGTTTTAGACCTGTATATCAACATTACGCTGTACTATTATGTGTTTGTTGTTCAAATAATATAAAATATCTAATTATAACTTGTAAATTTTAATATTTTAACATGATTTTAACTACTTTTGACAATAACTAACTTTTTGTTATCAAGATGACATTTTAGACGGCAACTGACATATAATATGTCATAATATTTGAATCTTAAATATGTATGTAATAATATAATTTAAATCACTATAATGCAACTTTATACTAAGAAAACATTTATACATTCACAAAATATAACAAAGTCTAATAATATAGTTTGAAAACAATGAATATTGAATTAAAATTGAAAAAGTTAAGCGCGACCCCTTGTGTCAAAATTAGATGATTAAATTTTCGCAATTTTTACACCATTTGATGACCGGTGACCTATAGTGTTTGTTCGGGCGGTTGGGCTTTTACTCCCACTTATGGCCATTAAAGAAAAACTTCTAAAGGGGGATGTTTTGTGATCTACGACAATGTCATTATGACACATTTAACATTGTCATTTGGATGTCATTTTGACTTTCATAATAGCACTAGTGCTATTATGAATTTATAATAACACGCAAATTTTAAAATATGACACAAGCAAAAAAAGGTATCTAAATACGTTTATTTATTGTAAACATTAATTATAATATCAGTACAATTGGTTAAATTAATTCCAGACGATGACCGGTGAGTTGAATTTTTAGAAAGTAAATTCATTTCCTGAGTGCTTGAACTTGTTGAAGACCCATCATTGCCAGAAATGTTACCCAAAATATTACATGATACTTTTTTATTATTTTCTTTGGAATTTTCTATATAGCTCTCTGTCACTGTGTTAGAGCGCCAACGACCATGTCTAATAAATCCACTCCTAAATCTGCAAGCAACGACGCAGACGATCTACGGAAACAATGTCCAGTGTATTGTTGTGGATTTGAAACACTTAATGCTATTTTATACGGCATTTTCCCTAAAGTATTAATGCCAACGGGTTGCTTATCAGAAATGGAAAATGTACCATTTCTGTACCCCACAAAAAATCGAGTATGCTCTGTGTTGCTTGGCCGCATAGCTATATATCTTCGAACCGTCTCCACCATATTTATTCCTTCAACATTCCCTTTCGTTATAAAAAAATATCGTGATATCTTTGTTTTCGTAAATGGAATAATGACATGAATGCATTGTTTTTCATCTTTAACATTTCACAGCTGCAGATTTGTCATCTCGATTCGCCGGCAGGCTCCCGCAAGTCCCACTATCAATGAAACTCTTGTCAGGAAATAAGTTTCATCGGCTTCCAACAAAAAACAAGTTATGTCTTCTTTTCTTAAAATTCTCGATTTTTTTGACCGAAATCCTTCGAATTTTCTTTTCTTTTAGAAATGCAATTAAATGGACGTACTTACTAATATCTGTATTTTTCTTCACTGATATAACTGAACGTAACATGGAACAATATACCCAAATTGATGAAGCCTTCCTATGTTTTGAAATATGTCCAAAATATGCCAAGAGAACCTTTTCGTTACTACTATTCTTGATTCCTTTCCCTTTACACCAAGTTTTACATAGGCTTGCTCGTACGTTTGTCTTGATTTTTCGGGAAGTAGGGAATCGACAACGTTTTGCGCAATGCCTTCAATAACCGAAGGGACACTTTCAGGATCAGAATCACCCATATTAATATTATCTTTTGCTTTTTGCTAAAACTGAAAGTTTAACACAAAATTGAACATCAATAATTGAGTTGTCAAAGTCAAAATGGAAACCAAATGGAAACAATCATGGTATAAAGAAAACAAGGTATGATCGATAGCGGGTCCAATTTCGTTCAGTTTGCGCATACCACCTGTGACGTCATACGCCATACAAAAAAATATCCATATTGTTCAATTGCCACTAATAAAAAAAGACCTAAAAGAGGGAAGAATTAGGACATAACCCCAAAAGTTATGTCAAATCATTGAGCTTGACATTTGAAAAATTATTTTCACATTTTGACACAATTAAATTTCACAGATGACACAATCTGTTTGACAATTTGAAATTGGCGCGCAGAGCTTGCCGACCAATGGTGCCGTTTATCACCTGTGACGTAGTGACCAACCTGCGCAATATCATACCTTGTATTCTTTGTATCATGGGAAACAATCAACAAGCACGGTTACCACGGCCGCGGCGGCGGCGCCGGCGTCGACTAATATGGGCACCTGATAATTTTGAATTTCAATTTTTATGAGGATATCTCTGATATTTTAAATTAAATCAAATCTCTTTGGATCGTGCCTCTTGTCGCGTCGTAGATTAAATTTTGAATGCTACACGTTCGATACGAACTTTTTAATGAAACTTGTGTAACTACTTGCTTAACGTTACACGCATATCATTATGATGTTCGTATTGAACTTGTATCATTAATAACTATAAAAACGGCCTTTGGCCAACCCCAGAAAGGTTGTTTTAGAAAAACTTGGCAAAAAGTTCAATGCCAAAATATTTTATTTCGATAAATAAATAAATCCTATACGATACGGACTTGTCTGTATCGTATGTGTGTATCTCTGACCATATTAGATTGGAAAGTGCCCATAAGGACAATGTAAACACTATTTGGCGTTATTCTTGCAACGGTCGCGACCCAAAGCTTTTGATAATTTCGGATCGGTTCGGTTTTTCCGGAATTATGTCGCCAAATATTGTTTATTCAAATTTATTATTATTTTCTTTTAATTTTATAAATAACATACAGTATGTTGTATACAAGGAACTTTATTTTATATAAAACATGTATGTGAAATACCTATGAAACATTGGAAGCTGACGTTATGCCACGATCCACGGTTTTGGCAGTTCACAGTTCACAACAAAGTTTTTTAGTTTTTAATGCCACTTTTTCACGGGTTTGAGTAAATAAAATTTAAATTAAACTCACAAGACAGCAATACCTAATTACTTTGAGAACTGTATATGACATTTGATCATCAAAACCGAGTGTCATATTTTTTGTCAAGTTGTCAAGCTATGAAACACATTACTGCGTTGTTTTTGTTAATTTTAATTTGTGAAACCAAAATAAAAAACGATGAAGATGACGACAATATACCCAGAGAACCTTCGACAACTGAAAGAAAATTAATAAAATTTGGTGGTATAACAATTAATTTTAATATTTAGACTATTTAAAGTAACATTTATTTTTTGTTAGATTCTATAACAAAATGTTTCGATGATTTAGGATGTATCCGAGTTGACGATGAATGGTTTGATAAAAAATATCGCCCAGTAAATTTCATGCCAGTAGATCCAGAATCTCTCAGAACCGAGTTTCTGTATATAAAAAGAAATAATTCAAAACCAGTAATATCTTTTATTAATTTATCATAAAATAAAGCTCGCATATTCCTTTACACTGAAAAAAAATAGTTTAAACCAAAATGAGCTAATCAAACCAAATGTTTAGTTAGCCATTTTGAAACATGTTGCACAATAACCATCAGATGGACAAGCACAGACAAGCAATTCGGAGCGTATGTGTTCTTATCTAATAAATCTAAAACTAACTAATAAATCTAAAACTTAATTAAAAGAGAAAATTAATATAGAGCTTTTTGAATTTGAATTTGATTTTTTAGAATGCCGTCTATTATGTTGTAATGACATCCAATCCCAGTTCAATAAAAAACAGTGGTTTTGATGGTAAATCTTCAACGTTCATGCTGATTCATGACTTTACAAGCAACGGCTTTGCTGGATGGATAAAAGTATTTCTTTATTTTTTAATTTTACCTTAAAGTAAAATATTTTTTTTCCATTATTATTTAGCACATTTCAAAAGTTTTGTTTACGAGACTGAAGACATGCAATATTGTGTCTGTGGATTGGCAACATGGTGCTGAGCCTCCTTATGACCAAGCAATAGCCAATGCGAGGACTGTAGCCTTGGAAATAATCAACTTCATAAAAGTTCTTAAAGTAATCTTACTTACACTAAAATTGCTCAATTGGCTCAAAAAATTTGTTTTGCTTTTTTCTGTGTTACAAAAACCTACTTTTAGTTAATAATTTGAATAATTTATAAACAGTATATTTTTAAAGCGTGAGGGATTTCTTCACTGAAAACCAAATTAAAATTTTTAAATTTACTTAAACTTGTAACTAAATGTTATAAAATATCTTATACCTGTTCTATTTAATTTGGATATTTCCAGAATGTTGCATTAATCAAATCTAATGAAATTCAACGTAAATCTTAATGTTTTTTTAGCAAAAATTTAATTTTGATGTTAGTAGACTTCACTTAATTGGGCATGGTGTAGGAGCCCATATTGCTGGTTATGTTGGTACAGTATTTTGCCGAATAAAAAAGATAACAGGTATATTTAACAGGATAAGAAAGTTTCTGCTCTATTTATTGATATAAAATTTCAAAATATGACCTATCTTAAGAAAATAAACTTTAGTTTCATAAATACCTTATACAACATAACTTCATTTTAGGGTTAGACCCGAGTGGTCCTAGATTTGATAAGATGTCTCCTACTGTAACACTGGATGCATCAGATGCCAAATACGTTGAAGTTCTTCATACAGACGGAATTGGAGGTATGTTGTAGACAGTAGATTGTAGGGGAGTTTTTCTTGAGTTTTTCTTGATCATACAGTCTCAGAGCTTTGGCAAAAGCCAGTGTCTGAGACGGTTTAACAGAGTTTAGTTCTCCATCTCCGATATCAGTCGTACCAAAGTTTATGAAATGAATGGTTATCGTCTCGGCCCACTCAGTGATGAATTGTTCTCTCCTTAAAACAAACATCTGCAATATACCTAAAACTTAATTTTTCTAAAAACTCCCATGCTGTTGAAAAGAGCAAAAGGGATGGGTAGATAAACTATACAGATAAAAGAATTAGTTGAGGTTATGTGAAATATTATATTCCAATAGAGAGTCAAAATATTATATTCCAATAGATACATTTTAAACTTTAAGATGCGAAAAAAACTGTGTGAATCCCTGGTACTGTCTGTTTTCAACTATGCTAATATTGTTTTTTATCCATGTTTGGATCTGGTTTCTAAAAACAGATTACAGTATGTACAAAACGTTTGCTGTCGCTTCATTTTTTAGAGGTATATGCATTTTGAAGTAAAAATAAAGTTTGCTTTTCACTAGTCTGCGTTATTCCAGAAAATTCCTTTTAAATTATTCTGCACAAGTCTAAACTTTTTATTTCAACACTCTGGTACTGTAATTTGATATGGAACAGATTATTATTTTTTCAGCCAAATTGTATCTAGCGGGTGTTAGTTTAGATCGTACCATTTCGGTAAATGAAGCTGTAAAATTTTTGGTCTGCAAAATACCTAAAATATATCTTTCTAAAATTTCCAATGCTGTTGAAAGGGCAAAGTCGTTGAAAACACTATACAGATGTAATTCAAATTAATTTTTCTATTTTACTTCACACTTCATCCACTCCTATATTCTGTTCTGAATGAAAAATTAGTTTAGATTATGTCATGCATAATCACAATAAATAAATAATCTTACTGATAATGCCTCAACAGAGCTAGCAACGTTTCGGAAAAACAAGTTTTTTAAGACGTCTGGCTGTCACTAGTTACATATTCCCTTGATAAGCTCTCTAGAACAGCATGCGATCCGTCTGGCTGCGGGTAAACCTTGCGTTCCCTACTGTGCATTGAAAGACGATCCTATATTTTTTAAACAATTTAATTTCTAGCCATTGAATATAAATCGAAAATGTTTCCATAGCGCAGTGCAGGTTTGACCATATTTTTGTATATGTTTTATTTAATTACCAGAATTATTTAATACTATATTACACAATATAACGAAAATAAAATAAAATATCTTTGACCTGACCCGGATTATAGAACCCTGACTCATCGGTTCATGTCTTTTAAACTACGCACTGCGTTCGATTTATATTCAATACTAGTATTTATAGTACTTAAATTAATAAGAAAACTATTTTTGTTCTTCTTCCGATGCGCAGTAGTGAACGCAACGGGTATCGGCAATGACGGGCCTTTTGCTGTTCCAGAGAGCATAGTAAAGACGATTAAAGAGCCAGATTATCTTAAAATCTTTCAATAACGTTAAATCTTTTTTTATAAACAACAATAATATTATTTCAAAGCGAAATTAACGGAATATTATGCTCAATTAGAACATCACCAAGGATCTCTGGAACGATTTGGACATAGTGATTTCTATATTAACGATGCGGACCTACAACCTGGATGTTCACAAGATGAAGCACTAACCAATCTTTTATCAGTGACCAGGGACTCACTAGAAGAATGTCAAATACTGCCTGGTTGTAGTCACAAAATGGCGTACAAGTATTTTATAGAGTCCTTGGAAGCGGAAGCCTGTAGTTTCCTTGGGATTAGGTGTAGCAGTTATCAAGATTTTATTAATGTATTCATTATAAACTGTTTTCTATAATAGCAAAATTATTAAAATTGGAATTTTAGGGAAAATGTACCTCTTGTGACAAAGATAGATGTAGAACTTTTGGAATGGCAACGTTCAATAGTACAGAAAACAATACATATGCGTCTTATTACTTACAGACGTCTAAGAAGCCACCTTATTGCTGTAAGTTTATAAAACTGGCTATATTGGCTATTAAACATGCATAAAAATAAATGTTACTGCTCTAACACTGTTCTAAAAATAAATATTTTGATTCAAAACATTAAAGCACGGCTGCACTAAAATTTAATATATTTTTGTTTTCTCGGAACATGAAATGTTATTATGTAAACAGTATTTTTTAATTCTATGTAAAAGACTAATGGCAACAAATGGTTCTTTTTATTCAGTATATTTCAATTTTTATTAAATCATTTTTATGGAAAAGTTGATAACACTAGAATTTCAAAAATTTTACACGAAATAACTAACTTCATTTTTTTTCCTCACTAATAGTGATGGGCAAAACTGTTATTTTTAGATAACAGTTAAAACTGTTATAGTTATTTATAAAAAAACAGCTTAAAATAACAGTTTAAAAATAACAGGTTTCTTTATTTTACTGCTAAATATCTGAAAGAGTATGAGGCGGTCACCGCCAGGCGTATTAACGCAGTTGCAAGTTGCAACAATGACGTGCTCGGTGGTAGTATTTCCAGGGTGTCAAAACATTTCTAAATATCGATTGTTATCTAAAATACCTCTCTAAAAATGGTGGTTGTTTACAAATAAGCGCTGTTTAGAAATTGCGATATAAAAAAAGCCAAAATTCCGCCACTCGTCTATACCTATACATTCCGATCTACCTACGCCCTGCCCCTCGATCCGCGTAGATCCTGAATTGCGTAGCAGTGTATAGGGTGCATCTCACTCGACGGGCGAGAAGCTCTTAATTATGATTTTACCATTTGCGGTCAAAAAATAGCAATATAAGAAAATGTGTAGTATATTCTTTATAAGTAAACCAACTACACACTAGAGTTCGAATTAATTTTATACTGAAACTAGCGTGTACCCGCGACTTCGTTCGCGTCGAGTTAATAATTTCTAATGGTGATGATAAAGCAAAACAAGAATTTCCATTAACATACAAACTGGATAAAATTTTCTCACATTTGCCAAGAATAAGCTTTAAACGTCGAGTAGTTTAAGCAGAATCGTGGTTAATCAATTACTCAACTTTTTGGAACACCCTGTATGATTTTTTAAAAAAATTTCAAAATATGTAAAAAAACAAAATAAATTATGCGTGTCCAGGCGTTTTCCCGAAAGACTAACCGTTTTTTAAATAACAAATATTGTAATATTTGAGGGGCGTTTTCACCCTGTTGGAATTTGAGATTCGACAAACCCCTCCTTATCGAACCTCAACCCCACAGTCAATCCGTTTGCCAAAAATCAGCCTTAAACGTCAAAGCAGTTTAAGCAGAATAGTGATTACTCAATGGTCATATTTTATGAAACACCCTGTATATATTTTTAAAAAATCTTAAAATATGTAAAACAACATAATAAAATATACGTGTTTTAAGAGTTTTTCCGAAAAACTCACCGGTTTTTAAATAAAAAATATTCTAATATTTGAGGGTAGTTTCACTCCCTTAGAATTCGAGTTTCGAAAAATCCCTTCTTATCGAACCTCTACACCCTAAAGTCAATCCGTTTTCCAAAAATCAGCTTTTTACGTCAAGGGCTTTAAGCAGGATCGTGATTAATCAATGACCAAATTTTTCAAAACAAACTATACATTTTTAAAAAATCTTAAAATATTATTCTGAAAATTTTTCAGAATAAATAAATACCTAAATATTAAAACTTAGTAAGCAAGTACTAAAACATACAGCGCCATAATATCTCGACCTCCGTCCGTTATGCTCGTAACAGGTTGAAACAGAATGTATCTAAAACAACTGATGGCGTTATTCTCCAACCTGTTTCAAATCTCCATAGACAATCGACCGATGCAACAGCGTTCCTTTCCCACTCCGATTATTTCGACCGCCGCCCTGTTATGCTTGTAACAGGTTGAAAAATAACGTATCTAAAATGACTGCTTCTCCAACCCGTTGCGAGCCTCCATCGACAATCGACCGATGCAGCAGCGTTCCTTTCCCACTCCTGTTATCTCGACCGCCAGGCGTTATGCCCGCGACTGTTTCAAAAAACCTGCTTCTTTTATATCCTATTATTTTTAAGCTGTTGCAAGCCCAATACGACCATCGACGGAAGCAGCTACGTTCGCCGTAGCGCCTTCCCCACTCCGTTGTCCGTGGTCTCGCCGCCTGTATCTATGGTTGACGAAATAACATGTTTTCCATCCATAGATCCATACTAGTTGTTCTTTGGAATTGCTTCGAGCAGCATAGAATTTCGTGGCGGTGCAGAGCGCCGACTTCGTTTTTCGTTTCACGAGCGGCCGATCTCTACGTGTCGTTATTTTATATCTGGTATTTTTTAGAAGTAGTAACGGTTGCGTTATGTTATTTATAAATAATTGTTATATAATATCAGATAGTTAAATAACAACCCATCTCTACTCACTAATAATACAACCTGGATGAAGTATGTGTCAACTTGTTAACTAAAATCTAATAAAACTCTAAAAAGAATTAAACATTGTAGTGTATCAGTATAGAATCACACTTCATTTGAAAGCCACCAAACCAACATTTACTGGATACTTCAAGTTCATCCTGATTGATGTAAATCATCGTGTAACATCATCCTCAGTCTCAGAACCAAGGTAAATAATTAGTTTTCATTATCGCATAACCTTACTAATCACATTTTATTTAGGGATTTTAAAGGTGGTAGTGGTAACAGTTTAGTATTCTACGCTGGTAGCCCTGAAATGGGAAAAATTAAATCAGCTAAAATTGGTTGGCACCAGAAAAGGAATGTTTTTTGCATCATCAATTGTAAAGAATCTGTTAATGTTGAGAAAGTCAGTATATCCAGTATAAACAGTCATCAGAAAAACGTGTAAGTCTTGTATGTTGTTTATAAAAACAATTAAAAGATATTCTAAATTATATGGATCAAACTTGGAAAAAATAAATATAATTGGTAAATCATATCTTATAAGATTGTGCAAACTAGTTTTTTTTTTCAAACGTTTTTGCGAAGTGATTGACAATATAAAAAGTCATTTTAACGCCTAGGCATGAAAATAAAGCACTTTTACGCTTAAGCATAAAAGTACGAAAATATATTATTAAACTGTCATAAAGTGTCAAATTCAAGAAGCGTAACCATAGTTCCTCGATATATAATTAATTACAAGATATTACTTTTAAATCTTTTTAAAATAAATTTAAAAAAAATGTTGAAATAAACAAATAATAATGCAATTACTAACAAATTAATTTTAAGTTGTTTTATATTATTTTTTTAAAACATTCAACTTGTTACAAAATATACAGACCGGACCACCGTAGTAGTAACATAGGCAGAACCGGACGAATTAGCGTATACCCGTCCGCCGGATAAAAAGCAGGCGAAAAAATGCGATAAAATAAAAATAGGTAGATATGTGATAAGAATGTTACAGAATTTATATTTATTCATGTTTTAATAGCCAAAACGAATACATATATTCTTGCTACAGCTCTCGTGTAAAATTTATTTTTTAAGTAAAATAATGGATGTTTACGAAGTTCGTGAGAAAATTCAAACTGTAAATTGTAAAATGGTATTTCCAAAATAGGTCTTATCGAAATATACAAACAATTTTTCCACAAACTTTTGTAAACAGGCCAATTCCATCTTTACCTACTATATCAAGAGTTATTAATAATTTTGAAACACATGGGTGCGTGTCCCCACAAAAACACAAAAAGCCTGATGTGTTGATTAATGAAGAACAGGAGTTAAAGCAAGTGTTTGGGGTGGTTTTGTAGGGGAGCATATGATTGGTCCATTTTTATAAATGGTAATTTAACTGTTGCAAAGTATTTGGACGTGTTAGAGCAGGAAATTGTTTCTAGAATTCGTGAGTGAGAGATTATTGGGAGAAAGATTCCACAATGTCTGGTTTCAACAAGATGGTTGCCCTGCCCACAATGTCCGTATTGTTCAAGAATATTTGAACAATACTTTTCCCAACCATTTAATTAGTGGATATGGGACTATTTTGAGGCCCGCTAGATCACCAGATCTTTCTCCCAATGATTTCTTTTTGTACGGTTATGTAAAATCCAAAGTGTATGCTCATAATAGGGCTAATAATCTGGATGAGCTTCAAGTAAAAATATGAGAGCCTTTCCAAACTATTAGCCCTAATATGTTAGCCAATGTCAGACGGGAATTTTATGACCGCCTAGGCTTCTGTCTAGCACAAGATGGTGGTCTTTTTGAACACTTGTTATAACTTTTTTTATTTAGAGTAATATTTTAGTTTCTTTCGGGTTTAGAGAATTTATTTATTTTGGCTTGTAAACACACTCAAATAATAAATATTTAAGTATTTTTATTTTAAATGTTACCTTAAATGAAGGTAAACACTTAAAATGAAAATAATAAATACACGGCACTCCTCGCGTCGTATTCCTAGTGTCACGACCGACCCGTCCAAGCACAACTGCAACTGCGTACTTCCTGACCAGTCGACTAGCCGGCAGTGAATCTCTAGTACGAACGCAAATCGGGTAAACGTAAATTTGTCCGGCAACTTGCTATGTTACTAGTAGCCTGGTCATCTCTGTATAATTAAGTACATACCTTATATTGATGATATTAAAGTTTGGTCCACTTATGCCCATTTGCACCGTTTGTATAAACTTTGTTTAAAGGCTAAACAGTGATTAACTATAATAAAATACTATATAGTTAATCATTGTTTAGCCTTTAAACAAAGTTTATACAAACGGTGCAAGTGGGCATTAATATTTGAGATGAAGCCTCTCCAAGGTAAAGTTCTATGAAAGTGATAGTTTTCTGTCATACTAATTCATGTCATTTTTTGACATTGTCTGTCAAAAACTTCCTTAACTTATTGAACAGACATTACTTTGTAATCCAATCTAAATAAAATGTCCGTAGATCAACTTCTGTGCTGTGCCCGAAAGATGGCATAACAGAAATCATAAATGGAGATTACCAAGAGTTCTATCCTTGTAGCTGATCGATTAACAAAGAAGAAAAACTAATTTTAGGCATTTACACTATTTTATTTTACACTAATTCGAAAAATAATAAATATACAATCCATTTACCAACAAATAGAGTTTTCTTTTTCTGTTGACAGTTTATAAAATCAGATAAAAACCATAAAAAATAGTGCATTCTAACGAAGAGATATTGACGTTTCACTGAATTTCACCCTTACATCATACTTTTTAAGTGAGGCACAGAAAATTTAAAACAAATGGTGCAGAACTCATATTTTAATTTGTGAGAAAACTATAACTGCATAATTGATTTAAAATTTCTGAAAAGTAGCTGAAAAATTATCTCAGTATTTTGAGTGATTCTTCAGTCCGTTTTTACCTTTGAATAGGAAGACTATGGAAGGAGCATATCAAATATCTTAGATCCACCGCGATGGGCCTCAAATATGGCCGACTTAAATTCCGCTTTATCAGTGCCGTTCTAATTTTATTTAAAAAATGTAAAACTATGATGTAGGGTTGACGTGGGGTAGACTCAATAATATGTTGTTTTATTTGACGTTGTGAATAAATGTTGGTAGTTATTAAAATTGTTACAAAAATATATAATTCTAATAAAAATAGATTTAATAATAAGAAGAATAGAAGTTATAATAATTATTTATTAACATAAACATCCGATACGCTACTGAAGCAAGTAAATCTGGTAAATCAAATTGACAGATGACGGGTATCTAAATTCTTTGACAAGTAGTAAATAAAAGCAAATATGCAAGAAAAAATATATAATTAGTTAATTTAAGTGAATTTCATAAATGATCGGTTTACTACACGTATGTATATTATATAGTCACTTACTAACGAAAAGTTGTTCCATTATTTCACTCGATTTTTGCCGAGATCTACCGCACGCTACACAATTGACTATTTTAGAGTCTTTTTCGATAAATCGCGATAGTGTCACTGTTAATTTAAGTTCTGCCACAATTTCCATCTAGATTTACTACCTTTATACAACTCTCAGTAGTAGAATAAATAATAAATAACATAAAATAAGCTCCGTAAAGACTGACAAATCCATAAAATTTCAAATCAAATTCAAATGTGTCAAATGAATCGTCAAACAGAACTGTCAAGGATCCCCACCCTAGAGTGCTTTTTCCGCCCACCATGCATGAATACATGGATAGCATTATTCTCGTTCCTTAGTTTTGTTATTCAAAGGTTTTTACAAAACATTTAATATAGCTGTAGAGTTTCTAATTTTATTATACTACATTAAATTAAATTCAAGAAATAAAACTTTTGATTCTAATCGATTCAAAACAAAAATGCAGTTTATTTAAAATTATTTGTCAATATAAAATAGCAAATAATCTCTTATTTTAAAACATACATACGAGTGCTAAGAATAATAAACTAAAACTAATCAAACATTACTAATTGTTTTTCTAGAATTTATGTCTATGTACACGTTACACTTATACAATTAGTCAATTTTTACGACAACGTTAGTTTTAAAGCAGGTATATTTCTATAACGAGATAGCCACATCAACAAAAAGGAAAATTTACCGCCTTTTAGGCCAGAGATATGTATGAAACAAAGCGTAGTGATGACTAATTTTAAACATGATTTTTACGTAAAGAAATCAAAAGTAATTTTAATTGTTCAGACCCTATAATAAATTTTAAAATGCTTCACTGAGGTTATGTGTTAGGTAATTTATAACTTATTAAACTTTTATTTTTTAAGAAACTTGTTTCCTAAATTTATACAGTATGTCCTCGGGTTGCCTTTACAAAAAGAAAAACTTTTTTATTATTGACGTTTTGACAAAAATGCATCCTTCATATGTTTTTGTGTTTTTTCCCTTTGTAAAGACAATCCGGGGACATACTGTATATTATTAAGTGATGTCTGTATAGCCATTGCTGAACATTACGTCATATATTATCGTATTCTTGAGTACATCAAAACGAGATGAAAGAGACTGTATACACTGCATATTGTTTCTAATGTCACTTTACCATTTGTGATTATGATCCTTACCTCTACACTCCAAATTTGGAACGTAGTTAAAATATTTTAAATAGTATAAAATGATCTCAGAAAAAAATTAAAACAGATATACAGGGTGGTCCGAACTGTATTCCGGAAACTTCGGCAGCATATTCTGCAGATAAAAATAAGTAAAAAAAGTTCGTATAAATGTATGTCCTAAAATGCTTAGTTTCGGAGATACAGGGTGTAGAGGTTTTATTTGTATTTCGATTTTTTCTAAATAATTTCTGAAGTAACGTCAGTATTTGGATGAAAATTGATGTTTAGGAGTTTCTTAAAATAAGAAATTTGATTTTGATGTCAATATGACTCCTACTCTACCCTAGAGGGAGCCACCTACATATTTTTAACTGGTTTGAAGAGTAATAACTTTTCGTCCCTATCGGTATAAAACTACTGAGTAAAAAAATACACATTTACGACGTTTTTTACGTGAAAAATGTATCTTGGTAAAAATCGCTACGAGTAATCGTTTTCGAGATATTTGCAATCGAAATTATCAATACCTGTCATCATTGACATAAATTAAACATGTTGACTAAATTGTTATTAGATTGAAATCATAAATTTAAAATATTTTTGTGCCAAATCAACAGAAACTGTTTTATCATTATTTTTTGCAGAAAAAATTATGATTAATTTAAAAAAATAAAAATTTCCCAAATTTATTATTTCAGTGAAATAACTATATAGTTATTTGCACTTATTTAACGCTCACCTTGTATAAATATTCCCCAGAAATGGATAGAAATTATAAAAAGCCAAGAATAGCATAGACTCATCAAATATGAATGCGAATCATACCAACATATATTATGATAAAAACAATTTGAACAGTAAATCTGCATGATGATGAACAATTTTTATGGAAAATTATATATTTTTTAGATTCTACTGTCATCTTAGGATGTTTGTCACAAAGCCAAACCAACTCAATGTGTTTATTTTTCGTCAATAATGACATGTACTGACTATTTCCATTCTAAATATCTTAAGAACGGCTTCTTGTAGCGATTTTTACAAAGAGATATTTTTTACGCAAAAAGTCACAGAGATGTATATTTTTTCGCTCGGTATTTTTGTACAGGTACGGACAAAAAGTTATTACGCTTCAAAACAGTTAAAATGCATGTAGGTGGCGCTCTTTACCAGTAGGAGTCATATTGAAATCAAAATCAAATTTCTCATGTCAAAAAACTCCCAGACACCAATTTTCATCAAAATATTGACGTTACTTCAGAAATTATTTCTACACCCTCTATCTCTGAAACTAAGCATTTTAGAATTTACATTTATACGAACTTTTTTACTTATTTTTATCTGCAGAATATGTTGCCGAAGTTTCCGGAATACATTTCGGACACCCTGTATAAAATAATGATGACGTAATGTTGAAAGATCTTTGTACAGACTGTATCACATACAAAACATTCTTTGTAATAAAAACGGTAGATAAAAATTATATGTTTAGGTCTGAATACTTTTATTTTGAGGTTAATGCAAAATAGTGCCTAACAATTTATTGTCACTAGTCAAATATCAGTTAAGAACTAGTAATTTTAGTACATGCGGAGGGATAGAGTGATAATTTGAATTTCTAGAATGTACACATCTTAAAAGTGTATTTTTCTTAAGCAAAGAGAGATTAAATATTCTTTTACAATATACAATTACAATTCTACAATCTGATGATTATATGAAACAGTTATTCAAAAAAGTCAATATTTTCAATTACCTGCAAATGTTGCAAATGTTCATTACATATTTTTTTTTAAATATAATTCTAGTTTATATTTTAACAAGCACGGCTGATATTTGTTTATAAAAAAATATTTGTAATATTTTAAATACAATATTTTGATATTGAGTTTTTACAAAACAAAGGTTTTATATTTTAAAGAAGGATTTGTTTAGTTCATGAAACAAAGAAACTCCATACTATATTTTAAATGCATTTTTTAATGTAGATAGTTTGTTTTTGTGCGTATTAGTTAAACTTAATATTTATAAAAATAAGTTTGAAAATTTAAATATTTAATAAAGTGGTAAACTATATATTTTATGATTATAATGGAGATTTTGAATAGATCTATGAAAGTATACTTTTAAACAGAGTTTTACTCTGCTTAGCGTTCTCTATCTGTCCTTTCCATTGAATTGCCTCGTATATTATAAAGATTTATATACAGAAAATATGTTGTGGAGATTTTTTGTTTAATAAACTCTTGTTCTAGTCCAAAAAATTTAAAAATATACAAAAGAAATACTAGTGGCACAATTTTGCTTTGAATATAAAATAATATTAACAGATGACCATTTATAGGGTACCTCACTAATTAGAACTATCTCATCTTACATCTCGTATTTCAATAGTATATAATAAAACTGATACAGTGTATAGTCTAACAACTGGCATGTATCATATGTAACAGAATTATAACAAAATATCATTATTTAAATATTTAATAACAACAATATAACTTACTACGATATTATGTCACATTTAGTTTTTTCTTTTTTTCCTAGTCAAGCGATAAAAAATAAATCTAGAATGGTGAAACTAAAATATAACACGACTAGAGAATTACAAAATACTATAGTTTTTCTTTAATGCGCCACATTATGTATCTTAGATTAATATACAGGTTTAACTATTAGAACAATAGTTCTTATTTGTTTCATCTAATATTGACATGATTTTTGTTTGGTTTTAGTTCTTGTAAAATAATGTACACGTCATTCAACAGTAATATTATTCAAATTATTCTGAAGTATAAAAAGTGTCTCTAAAATTGTGTTTCTCTACAAGGTGGTGCGAACTGCATTCAGAAACTTCGGCAGCATATTCTGCATATAAAAATAAGTAAAAAAGTTCGTATAAATGTATGTCTTAAAATGCTTAGTTTCAGAGATACAGGGTGTAGAAGTTTTATTTTAATTTCGATTTTTTCCAAACAATTTCTGAAGTAAAGTCAATATTTGGATGAAAATTGGTATCTAAGAATTTGTTGAAGTGAGAAATTTAATTTGGATGTCAATATGACTCTTATCTGTCACCTACATGTGTTTTAACTGTTTTGAAGGTTAATAACTTTTCGTCCGTAACTGTATAAAACTACTGAGTAAAAAATTACACATTAACAACGATTTCTTTTCATGTAGGTGGAGCCCCGTACAAATAGGAGGCATATTGACATCAAAATCAAATTTCTCATGCCAAAACAACAATTTTCAACCAAATATTGACATTACTTTAGAAATTATTTGGAAATAATCGAATTAGGAATGAAACTTCTACACCCTGTATCTGCGAAACTAAGCCCATTGTAGGACATTCATTTATACAAACTTTTTACTTATTTTTATTTGGAAAATATGCTGCCAAAGTTTCCGGAATACAGTTCGAACCACCCTGTATATTTCTAAAGGTAAATCATTATGACAAACATAAAATTTCAATTCTTTACAACTGCTGGTAAATCTCTTAAAAATAATTTATTAAAAATAAAAAAGAAATTCATATAGGCTTTTTAGAAACACTCTGTATACTTTTACACATATTTATGAAGCTTTCATTTACTACATTGAAATAAAGTAGCATTTAAAACGCTTTGAACACTAAGATTTTTTTTCTTAAAACTCTCGGTAGGTATAATATTTGTAATTATTTAACAAAGTTACTACATGCATACAGTACAAATATTAATTTATATTTTTTCAGAATATTTTCATTACATTTGTCGCTTACAGTTATCTAGTTTTTTAGTGAAACTTTTTTTTACTATAAAGTGACAAATTTAATAAAAGGTTTTAAATCGCAGAGGTTTTCAAAAATTGGTTTAATTATATTTCTTTTAAGAGGTGTAACTTAATTTTCTAAGCATTAGTTAACTAACAACGACATGAAATTCGTTGGTGTGTTGTTAGTGTTTATATATTACACTTTTTCAGTAAATTATGCGCAGAATAGATTGAAAGTTTGGTAGGTCAGTCTCAAAAATATGTGTCTTAAGCTACATACTAGAAGTTCTTTAACAGTGTTAATATTTATAGCTTTCTTAATAATGACCATTATTAAAAAAAGTATCAAATTGTATTAGAATATTATAACTATTAGTTGATATAAAAATTAACCAACTATCTAAAATGCTTCCTTTTTTTTTTCAAATGTAAATTTTGTTTGACAAGAACTTCAAATTAGTTTTAGAGATAAACAGAGTAAATCGAGATGTTATTTTTACTTGATCACACTGTATGCTCTGTGTTTTCACATACAATGGTATTCAATGATGGTAAAATAGCTTATTATATAAAATAAAATAAATGTTCATCATAGTTTCACAAATTATGAATAAATTTTTAGTTACTTAGTAAATGTTACAGAACTTCTCCTTTAGTAAGCAAGACACATTACGAAAAATAAAATAAAAACAAAACTGAAGAAAGAAAAATACAAAAACGACTGGTCAAAGGTATAGAGAATCAAAGTTCACACAAACTTCAGCACATGAAATCCAAAGCACATGTGTTCTGGTACTATAGTAATGTAATAATCGTATGTATAAATACTCTGACGCTATTCCAACTCTGACTGAACTTTTGTTGGGCGTAAAATACTGACTCAGTTTTGCTGAGTTGGGTTCAGAGTTACAATGGCGTGTTTTTTTAATGATAGGATTTACGTAATAGGATATTAACAATTGCAGTTGCCCGCTTGAGGCCCTTGAGGGGCATCGGTGAGACGCTGGCCCTTCCCTGAACCGGACATCAACGTTGGGTCGGTGTCCAAGCTGTCGGACATTTTGTCGCAGATTATGTCCACTAAACGCTCAAATACAGCCTAAAAAAATAGAGATTATTAAATTAACTTATAAAATATATCTGAATTTCTAAACTAAAATTTATCAAATAATATATTGACCGATGTACCATTTGTGTCGGGGTAGGGATAATAGTTTCATAGTTGTCGATTTTCGAAAGAAATTAGTACATGTATATTATTTCGTATATTTTTCATTTTATTGATTTTATGGAAAGCACTGTTCATTAAAATGTTGTATCCTATGTTATAGGGCTTGTTTCTCCCTACAATTTCCTGTTTCACAATGTACCGTTTGTGTCCGGGAAGGGATCATAGTTTCATAGTTGTCGATTTTCGAAAGAAATCAGTACATGTATATTATTTCGTATATTTTTCATTTTATTGATTTTATGGAAAGCACTGTTCATTAAAATGTGGTATCCTATGTTATAGGGCTTGTTTCTCTCTACAATTTCCTGTTTCACAATGTACCGTTTGTGTCCGGGAAGAGATCATAGTTTCATAGTTGTCAATTTTCGAGAGAAATCAGTACATGTATATTATTTCGTATATTTTTAATTTTATTGATTTTATGGACAGCACTGTTCATTAAAATGTTATAGGGCTATGTTATAGGGCTTGTTTTTCTCTACAATTTTCTGTCTCACATTGTACCGTTTGTGTCCGGAAAGGGTTCATAGTTTCATAGTTGTCGATTTTCGAAAGAAATCAGTAGATGTATATTATTTCGTATATTTTTCATTTTATTGATTTTATGGAAAGCACTGTTCATTAAAATGTTATATTTTATGTTATAGGGCTTGTTTCTCTCTACAATTTCCTGTCTCACAATGTACCGTTTGTGTCGGGGAAGGGATCATAGTTTCATAGTTGTCAATTTTCGATAGAAATCAGTACATGTATATTATTTCGTATATTTTTCATTTTATTGATTTTATAGAAAGCACTGTTCATTAAAATGTTGTATACTATGTTATAGGGATTGTTTCTCTCTACAATTTCCTGTCTCACCGAGATATTGACTTTTTTAAATTTAAATATTCTTATTATAGAGCTCTTATTTCAAGTTTTATTGCATTTGTTAGTCATCAATGTGTCCTGTACCAGCTTGTATAGGTTTTTGATAGGATGAGAGCATAGTTCCTCCGATTCAAATATCTGGGAGTGGCGCCCTACTGTTTCAGGATCTTTATCGTAGTGTCCGAAGCAAGGACTTCTTTGATACGGTTTGAGTTTGACAGTCATATGTCATGTCAAGAGACCTGTTGTAATCCGCATTTAGGTCCGCAAAATTAGGTCCTTGAATTGCGCCTCTGTCTGTTCTCCACTGGACGGTCTACTTTTCCCTGATCCAGAGGGTTACTATGCTGTCATCCTACAATTTTGTCAATGTCAACTTGTATTTTCTAAACGTTAGGCTTTAGCTTCATTTGAACTAGTTTTAAATTACAAAAACCCCAGAAACTCGATTATGAGTTTTTTTTCATGAGAAAAAATTAAAAATTTGGAAATTAAATTAAATTACATATTTTTTTTTAAGTTTTTAGTTAAAATACATAATTTGTTGAAAATATGGTAACATAGGTAGTAGATTAAACTTACAAGAAAGGAAATCCAGAAAATATCCAGTGGTTCTCAAAATTTTAGCAAAAACATTTTTTTTTGGAAATTCTCAAAGTAAAATAACTCGGTTATTTTGAATTTATTTGAAAAACGGTAAAGAGAAAATATGTTTCTTTTATCGAGATCTACCAGCCAAAAATATTTGCACATATTTAAGACTCATCCTGTATAGTGTTTTTTTTTTATTTGTAAATTTATCTTAATAAATCTGCATTAAAATTGTGATTTACCTGAAAGACATATTGTTTTACTTCATTTAAAATTAAACCAAAAATCAGAAATGAAATTTAAGACCAATCTCTTTAAAGGAAAAATTGCAAAATGCATTTTCTGTTTGTTCCTTATGTTTGCTCTATTAATCAAAAGTGTAGAAAAGGTCAAGGTAATATTTCCTGAACCTTGATTGTCCAATTAATTGGATAAGTACTTTTATATGTTCGTACACGCAACTTCTAGTATGTATTGCTTTGAAAAAAGTTCCACGAGTATATATTTCTTCTAATTTGATAGACGGCTTTTACTATTTGTTTATTTCTTTATGTGATTATTTTATTTTTTTGTTAGAAATGTATTATAGTGATTATTTACCTCATCGTGAAATGGACCAATCAACTAATCTAATTTTTCGAATAAATTTTGTTTAGATAAGTGACTAAATCCCAAGACCCGTTTAACCGCGATTATTTTTTCGGCTTCCTTTTGGGTTTTCTTTTTGTCGTTTATCACTAATTCTGAGAGATTTTGGCAACAGTTCATTTAAAAATATTGATTTACAACTCATATGTATGACTTAATAACGATTTTAATCGGTGAAAACCCCTTATTCGATATTATTTTGAACAAATAAGTGGAGAAAAATACGTCAGAATTTGATATGTTGACGTATGATATGAAATTACGCGCAAATTATATTTGAATAGTTTAATCGATTAAATTTATAGGCCTTGTGATATAATATATGATTATTTTATTGTTTGTTAGAAATGTATTATTTTTACATATTCAAAATTATGTTTTAATTAAATGTACTTACCATAGACAAACAAAAGAGACTGGAAAATTAAATGGCAAAGAGAGAGAACGCAAAATTTCGTTCTATTTATGTTGATCTGCGCATTGCGTCTATTGGGCCCACTATCTCATTCTAATATAACAAGAGAGAAAACAGCAGCCATATAAAACGTAATTTCTAAATAGAAATTACAACAATCGCCTTTCGTTTTCGTCATCATGACAACCAAGATGACAACATCATGACAATTCGTCATGTTTGTTAATTTTTTTTTGGTGATTTACCTTTTTTTCTAAACTCTCCATTTTATTGACTTATGAATATGGATAGGGAACAAATTCCTTTGTTCCAGATAGGTATTTATATTTTGTTACTTATAATTTTAGGTTTTACTATTTGTTATTTTATTTGCTGCAGGAGCCAGTATCATCTATTTCTTATATGTATTGATACTCCCTGTCTCTGATAGATATGTTAAAGACACCCGGTAAAAAAAAAGTAAGTAGTTATATTTATCATCTTATTAAAAAAAAGTAGAAGTAGTAGTGTCAAAAATACTTCGAACCTCTCTTAACATAACAAATTAATACAATTAATTTTTTTCATTTTTTGGGTAGGTAGTTTATAGCTGGTTTATAGTAACCAGAAACTTTAATAATATACCTATTTTACTTTTGTTTTAGGATTAAAACTGGACTTGAAAATGGTTCAGAATCATGATTCTCGTAAAGTGTTCATTGCTTGGATATTCACTTTGTTATTGCAATTAGGCAGTTTTTTTCGAAAATGAGATTTTTAATGCCCTTTAAAAAATTGGCCGATCGTTTCCTGCAAGAGTCAGTTCTTCTGCATTTAAAATTGGTAGGTGGGTGGAATAAACACTGTTATTTTTTGTTATTATATTATAAAAAGTTTAATTATTTTTATGTATAAATAAATACGTTTATAAAACAGTACAATTTTTCCTATTTTTATAATTTCCCTTATAATAGTAGTATTTCTTCTCTATTAGTTCTTTCGTTCTGAAAGAAACTGAAAATTTTCACTTAAACTGATTTATTCCCTACACCCTTTACGTGGTATAGGGAATAAATCGGTTTAAGTGAAAATTTTCAGTTTCAAAATAAAGAATACTACTAATAATGGCTAATTTAAATTTCCCGCCAGCCAGAATGTGCGATAATGTCTTACGATACGTTTTATACTTATCTCTTTCTTTTTCATATAAAGCACACATAATAAAAAAAGATAGTAATAAAGACGTACGTCCTACCATGGTCCTGCTAATTGGTTTCAAAATTGTTATTTTGAGTTGCGCTACGGGAACGCGGTCCCACTCTTTACCATGGGATTTTTCAGTCTCTTTTTATTTGTTTGTCTATGGTACTTACTGAAGGGAATTTTATATACAGAGTGTCAAAAAAGAGCGTATCTAACTTCGGTATCAACGTTACTCACCTTGACGTTAATGTTCTCCTTGGCGCTGGTTTCAAAGAACTCCACCCCTAACTGTTCTGCCAGCTGCTTACCCCTTTCGAAACTAATCACCCTCTCGTCCTCCATGTCGCATTTGTTACCCACTAAGATTACCTGGGCATTGTCCCAAGAGTACGTCTTGATCTGTGTTACCCTAGAAGATTAATATACTTGAAAGTTAATATATTAAACGCTTTATTTTATCCAATTTTACTTTGATTTATACTAAAAATTTAACATTGGTTCAACTTAATATTTACTTACCAATCCTGTACACTATTAAACGATTCTTCATTAGTAATATCATACATTAAAATAAAGCCCATGGCTCCTCTATAATATGCCGTTGTAATTGTTCTATACCTTTCTTGCCCTGCGGTATCCTAGAGATAAACAAGATTTAAAGTAGAATTAGACAATTTTAAATCAAATATGTATTTTAACTATACTATAATATTAGTATATTATTGTATTAGGAGTAAAAATAACACTTTTTGTGGCGATTAAAATACAGTCGAGGCACAAAAAGTAATTTTTACTCCGAATAGAACATGCTATATTTTTTCAAACGCCACAAATAAGTTTTTAAACAATTTCAAAAGTTCCAAATAATATAAAAAGATTTAAAAGTCATACCTTGCATGTAATTATTGGTATATCGAGAAACTATGATTACGCTCGTTGAATTTGACAGTTTATGTCAGTTTAATAATATATTTTCGTACTTTTATGCTTATCGTGGGTGTAAAAGTGCTTTACTTATGCCTGGGCGTTAAAATGACTTTTTTATATTGTCAATCGCGTCGCAGAAATTAGTACTTTTGTGACGTTTGAAAAAAAAAACTTGTTCATTAATTTTTTGTGGACTTACCCATATTTGTAGTTTGACGCGTTTCTCATGTCTAAAAACTGTTTTTACTTTGAAATCGATGCCCACCGTGCTGACGAATGCTGACGTGAAACTATCATCTGCATATCTACAAATGAAAATATTATTTTAATATAAAATTTGTTCATACCCGCCAAAAATACAAGACAAAATTTACTTCCCAACACTTTTCTGAGTGTTAGATGACCAGTTTTTTAATGTGTGATATAAAATGGAGTTTTTATCAACATTTTGAAAAAGGTTTGGTTACAGTATTAGCATGTGTTGATTGAAAAATGGTACAAAGATTAATAACAAAATTAAATTATTCAAATTATGTGAGTTACTAAAATAGAGAATATATTTTTAAATACTTAGAAAAAGTAAAATAAAATACTAATTTACCACAATACACCAAGACACTTTACTTTTCAACACTGGACCCGTTTTAGCACAGTTTTTTTATATGATGTTAATACGGGAACCGTATTAGCATCATATAGCAGATACTTAAAACTAAATCAGTTTTGACCATGTTAGCATCATCATGGTGCCCAGTGCCTAAAAGTAAGCATTTTGATGTATTGTGGTGAATTAGTATTTTATTTTGCAGTTGTAACAACAAAGGTTCCAACCCCTAATTATTGTAATACTTAAAAAAATTCTCACTTATAATATCACAAGAGCTTAAATTATTTTCGGAAATTTTTTTGAGGGCACGAATATTTTGAAAATTATCCCGAGTCGAAGACGAGGGATAATTTTCCTAACATATTCGTGCCCGAAAGAAAATTTCCAGGAATAATTTAAGCTTGCGTGGTATTCGGTAAGAAAATTTCACACCTAAATTTGAAAAAAAAAATATTAATCCAACATAACATTATAACGCGTTGAAATTATTTTAAATTTCAATTTGTTAAGTTGGCCAAGGTATTGATGTTTTTGACATATTATGTGTTTTGTCATTTTTGTTTGCGATTCTGTCATTAAGCTATTACTAGTTTTAAAACGTCTGTACGTAGAGTAAGAAGTGTATAGCGAAATGTCGCGATTTGGAAAAGTAAACCAACAAGTCATTAAAGAAGAAATTGAAAATATAAAACCAGATAACACCCGAAAATCAAAATCAAGTATATATCCATCATATTTCGTTAAATAGAAAAATACCAGCTTTAGTTAAATAAAGGCGGCAGAACTATATTTTTTAGAACATGGCAATTTCGAAGAAATTCATATGTAGGTATATCTAACATATTTCCTTAAATAAAAAATATTACCAACCTTAGTTACATCAAATGCTAAAACTCAAATGGGTAATATTTCAATATATAGACATTGTAGTTCATTCACATTATGATTGTAGATCTTATGTTTACCTTTTCAACTGTCAAAAAATTTCCACTAAAGTTTCGTGGCGCCTCGAAAAAATTTCCGGAAATTTTTTCAGTTGCCATGGTAACTAGTCAACATTAAAGCATGTTATTGGTTGAAAAGTAGAGGTGTGAAATTTTCACTAGTAATACCACTAGAGGTCAAATTATTTGTCAAAAAAAAATGTCCGGATTTAATTTGACCTCGTGTGGTATTCGGTAAGAATATTCCACACCAAATTGTGTTTGAAAATCAAGTAATTAAAATGTATTTTTCGATTTTTGGTCGAATTGATTATTTAGTTACTATGACAACTAAGTGACACCCAAACCTAAAAACTATTTCAGTTTTGAAGCTGTCAAGCGGCACGGCTTAAAAAAATGTTTCGCTTCGGTCATGAAAGCAAAGAAAATATTCGCCAGGAAATTAAGCAGTTGACACCCGCGAATACTAGGAAATCCAAGTCAAGAGTATGAAAGCAGTTTACAAACTTTCATCTCAACTTTGTAATTAAAATGTATCAAAATTATCATGTAAACAAATAAAAACCAGACTCTCAAAAAGATATTCTGTCATTATAAACGTCAAAAAATTTCCAGTATAATTCGCTGTTTCCATAAGGAAAACATTTTCACTAAAATTTATTCGTTGCCATGGTGATTTGTCAAAAAAAACACGTTTTGATTGGTTAAAAATTACAGGTGTGGAATTTTCACTAAAATTTATCCGTTACCATGGTGATGTGTCAAAAAAAAACACGTTTTGATCTGTTAAAAATTACAGGTGTGGAATTTTCAAATTTATCTATTTTTAAAGTTTTCTGTTCTACAATAAATAAAAACAAATAACTTTCAAGTACGTTTTTATCTCTTTATGTCTCTGTTTTCGACGCGAAACAGATTTTACCTGAACAAAAAGGAAGTCTTCCCAACGGAACTGTTACCGATGATGAGCAGCTTAAACATGTAATCGAAATTCTGGTCTGCCGCGTCTTTCTGCCATTTTGGATCGGCTCCAGCCATCTGAAAAATACGTCCGAGGATGTTATTCTTCATTTTCTAAAGCGGCAAGTAATGCGGAAAATTCTAGAGTTATTTATCACCTGTCACCAAATTTAATCCTCGAAATTTCACGCTCTGGAAATATATGTTTTTATTTGATATTGTCATAATAATTGCATTTTACTATTGTAAAAGATTTTTGTGGAATACATTATTGGTTTCAATACAAATTATAGTATATTTATATTAGACCTAAAATAGCCGAATAGAAGAAAAAATTTATAAAGTTTTGATATGTTGATATTAGACGCACCAAAAGGAGACTTTTCAAAATCAAAAGAGTTCTTAACTTTAAAGTGTGAGCTTCACCCCAAAAAACCACCTCCAATACGCCCTTCGATGGTTTTTTGCTTTTTTCTCAAAACCTGTTGGTCCCACAAAAATTGAAACAATGAAATGTACAACTATGTGCGGAACCTGTCGTGGGCAAAGTTGTTCGAATACTGAGCACATTCTAGAAACTATAGACGATGACAATATGTAGATGAAAGTATGAATGTTAGTTTAATGGAATAGAATGTTTTTGTTTATATTATACAGTATTATATCTATTGCATGTATATTTATCACGTTAAAATACCTTGGGAAACTATAATTTGAAAGGCGATCTGTATTTTTTTGTACTCCATTTTTCAAACGGTTATTGCTCGAAATGCATTGGATAAATATAAATAATGAATAGAACCTTTTTTGTAGCAAATTTTATAAGGAATATTTTTGATAAGAATAAAATTTCTGTGCGACTAATGGTTTTCGAGAAAAACGAGAAAACCCACCGCAGTGCGTATTGGGGGTGAAGCTCACACTTTACAGTTAGGAACAAAACTTTATAATTTTTTTTCTAAATATGCTAATATTAACGTACTATTATACTATATACTATTTACGATTATTCACAATATTTAAAAAAATTTCAACCATGGACATATTCGGCGCCGGGCTGACTAACTGGAATTTAAATTTCCTGATGGGGATTCAGGTGGTACCTCTGCTGTAAAAAATTGTCAGGTTGTCACATTCATTTATTTATTTCCTGACATTATCAGTCGTTTTGACACTTTAGTTTTGTATTACGAGTTTTTGGTTTAAATGAATTGTGTTAAATTTTACTAGCAAGCCTTGTAGTCGAACATTGTTCTTTTTAGAACCTCTTTTAGTGCGAAGTGGTACAAGATAGCTTAATAGCCGGTGCAAAAAACTCATCGCAACCTTATTACAATATTTTGAACGGAAAAGCGGTAGTAAAGAACCCTTAAGTGCTGTTAAGGGGATGAGTTTTGTTAATGTAAATAATAACTGTTTATATATTTACATTTAATTTATTTTTATTCCCTAAAATATTTTGATTTAAAGAAAATATAATATAAAAGTAGACAACGCTCTGCCGGTCAAGCTTAATCACGTGAGTAAAAGTTTAATTGGTATGAACTATAGGTATGCTTTTATCACGAGAATATCAGTTGAACACAGATTAAATAAACAAATATATACAGGCGTGTCAATTCTTAGTGGACATTTTAATAATTTTTTGATTATTTTTTAACTATTTTATTTAAAATATTTTATTAGAAGACTAAATATTTTTATTAAGTCTGAATGGTTATAATGGTGTCTATGGTACCATTATTTTTTCGTAATTTGGACTCTAACTCTCTGACAATGCAATTTTGGTTTGAAATGAAGCTATTTAAATTCTAGTTCATGCGAAACGTACAGTAGAATTTTAGAGAAACAAATGAGAGTTGAATTTTAAGATATTTTTTATTATATTATTTGTCATTGACACAGAAAAAAAATGTATTATATTATTATTATTAGAAAACAAACATAAAAATAATTTCTAATACTCTAAATATACAGGGTGTTCCCAACTGTATTCCGGAAACTTCGGCAGCATATTCTGCAGATAAAAATAAGTAAAAAAGTTCGTGTAAATGTATGTCCTAAAATGCTTACCTACTTTCAGAGATACAGGGTGTAGAAGTTTCATCTTTATTTCGATTTTTTCTAACTAATTTCTAAAGTAACGTCAATATTTGGATGAAAATTGGTGTCTGGGAGTTTTTGACATGAGAAATTTGATTTTAGTGTCAATATGACTCCTACTAGTAGAGGGCGCCTCCTACGTGTGTTTTAATTGTTTTGAAGCGTAATAACTTTTTTGTTCGTACCTGTAGAACACTACCGAGCGAAAAAAATACATTTCAGTGACTTTTTACGTAAAAAATATCTCTTTGTAAAAATCGCTACGAGCAACCATTCTTAAGATATTTAAAATGGAAATAGACAATACATGTCATTAATAACGAAAAATAAACACGTGTGGAGTAGATAGTTATTTCACTGAAATAATAAATTTGGTAAATTTTTATTTATCATAAATTTTTCTACAAAAAATGACGATAAAACAGTTTCTGTTGAACTTTTGGTACAAAAACTTGTCAAATTTATGATTTCAGTCTAATAACTATTTAGTCAACATGTTTAATTTATGTCAATGATGACAGGTATTGATAATTTCGATTCCAAATATCTCGAAAACCATTACTCGTAGCGATTTTTACCAAGAGACCTTTTTCGCGTAAAAAACGTCGTAAATATATATTTTTTTACTCAGTAGTTTTATAAAGGTACGGACGAAAAGTTATTACTCTTCAAATCAGTTAAAAATATGTAGGTGGCGCCCTCTACTAATCAGAGTCATATTGGCATCAAAATCAAATTTCTCATGTCAAAAAACTCCCAAACACCAATTTTCACCCAAATGTTGACGTTACTTCAGAAATTATTTGGAAAAAATCGAAATAAAAATGAAACTTCTACACCCTGTATCTACGAAACTAAGCATCTTAGGACATACATTTATACGAACTTTTTTACTTTTTTTTAACTACAGAAGATGCTGCCGAAGTTTCCGGAATACAGTTCGTACCACCCTGTATATTTTCTTTCAATTAGTTATAGAAAATAATATTTTGGACACAGACTTTGTTACAATATCTGTTTATGGAAAATAATAATTTTACAATTAACTTTACTTTTTTTTATTTTCATGTCTTTTTTTGTATTTTTAGTAATAATTTTCTTCCTCAGACACTTTTTTTTAATTTTCTTCGTGTTTATAACGAGCTTTTCAATACGTTGCGTCGTCGGTGTTATAAAGAGAAATAAAGTGACACAAAATCAATAGAGATTTTCGATAATTCTAGAGTCTGAGCAAGAAAAAAAATGTTGTTTACTTAGCAAGCGAGTGAAATACGTCTGACAGCTCCTATCCTATTTCTTCGCTAGGTAAACACTAGAGGCTAAGGAAATTACTCTTTTGGTTTTTTTAGTTATATACTGGGAAAAAAGGTCATTGCTATAAATAAGTCTGTTGACTTTAAATGGCTGATTAATATTAAAACCTTAGTAGAAAATAATGACATTGGCTAAAACGAATATTGATACATACATCTACATACATACAGCCGTTACTCGCTGACGAGTATTCGACACATATAAAGAAGATGCTCACGCAAGGCGTTTTCTTGCATGAGCTTTTCTGTGACTGAAAATACGTGATGTTATCTGCCTACCGCACACCGGACATTCAAAAATCTCATTGCTTTGTTGCCTTTTTACTTTTTGGTTGCCGCTGTTAACTGAGTTTACAACCCTTCTCCATTGAGTTCTTTTGTGAGCTGCTTTTTCCCACTCATTCTGCATGTTAATTCCCTTTAAATTTTCGTGGAAAATGTCCTTGTATCTTTTCAGTTGTCCACCTGGCCTCCTCTTAACGTCTACAAGCTCACCGTAAAGCAGAGATTTTGGTATGCGGTTTTCTTGCATTCTGCATGCGTGGCCAGCCCATCTTAAGCGGGATTTTGTGACCATGACTTCAATACTCTCGCAATTAGCTTTTTCAATGACCGATTCGTTTGAGATATGATGGAACCACCGGAAAAACGGATTATTTTTATTATTACCTTATCTGTGGACAATTTTTTTAACAATTAATAGGAATAGAGCTCACTTGAAAGAAGTTATTAGTTTCTCCAGTGAAAACAGGTTTTGGGTACTTATGACGTTTTCAAAGTAAGTTATGAATTACAGATACAGCTTTCAAAATTACCAGCTAACTTGTAAACTAGCTACTAGTTACCAGCTATTTTGCCAAAAAAATATGTTGTATTCTGTTATTTTTTTTTCGTAATTATATATTATCTTTATTTTATTATATTATTTTATATCTTTTCGGCATTATATCGAAATTAAATAATGTAATATAAACAGTAATTACGTAGAATTTACTTACATTGTGATCAGAGAAATAACCTAAGGGTATTTCAACCCAGGACAGAAATCTGGAACGCTGCTTCCTGAGCTCGAAAGCTTGGTCTCCTGAAACGAAAAAGAGAAGAAGGAATGTATAAAAATAAGTCTGCTTTCCACACAAAGGACTAGACGGAATAAAAAAATGATTATAGTGGACCAAAAATATGACATTTTTTCTTCTTTGTTCATTTTTACAAATCAATAAATTTAAGTTTCATTCAGTGCCTGAAAATTAGTGGAATAAATTAGTGGTTTTAAATAGTCTAGAAGTTTGTACCTCTAATTTCAATGTTTGCATTTAGAACGTCAAAATTAGTGGTAGTAATTTTCAATTAGTGGCAAGAGTTAACAAAATTTTAATTTTGTCCAATAATTGTACTTCAAAATTTGCCAGTAATATCATTTTGGCGTTTGATTTTTATCATTCGTCAAGAGAAAAATTGTGGTTAATAGTTATTTTTTATACAAGACGATAAAATTAATTCACGAGCGATGAAATCGCGAGTGAATTAGTTTCGAGGGACGATAATGCAATTTTATCGTCGTGTATAAAACAATATTTTTTTTCATAGCGAATTACGTTTTAAAAAATATTCAGAAATTATTATTTGAAGGAATTTATTACGAGTAGAAAAAATATTGTGCTGGGTTGGCGTTGGTTTCTATGTAATTTGACAAATAAATAAAGCTGTCTCTTTAGTTGTCAGTTTGAGTCAATATTTTTTAATTCTCTTTCGTGTCGATTGCTGATTGAATTGGAGCCAGAAATGGCTCAAAACGAAATAAGTAAATTACCAATAGATATTCAGGCTGAGGCGACAAACGCCATATTCAAACTACTTCCATTTAAATCCCGAATAACTTATGAAAAGAAATACAAAAATTTTCAAAAATGGAAGCAATTAAAAAACGTTCGAGAAGAAATAAAGTTTTTAGCCTATCCTCTCTCTTAAAGTATCATTTAATTTACCCTTGCGGATAAAGTACTATTTATTATATATTTTGCTAGGATATTCTTGAAATCATTTTTTATAAACAACATAAATTATTGCTTTTCAACACTTTAATATTTTTATTACATCTTGCCAAACTCTATCTTAAATACTGTCTGTATTTATAAAGACAAAATATAGATTTCATAAAAAATAAAACAAATAAAAAAATAAAAATCAGTCCAGAAAGTATTTTCCAATTACCTATTTATAAATGTCATTAAAAGTAACATAATACATGTATCAACACGTGTCATCCTTCAATAATAACGTAGCTAAAGGAAAAACGAAAATATATAAAAATACCTTCATCAAGTTATTTATATTTCTTTTCATATCCCCCCAGAGTAAGCATCAATTTTCTCAATTGGATATATTGTATTGAGGTAACTGATATTCAAAGATTCTATTTCAGGAAGACTGGCAATTAATATAATTCAATTTTTTTTCGTGTTGATTTTATAATTTCAATAAAATCAATATCAAAATTCTTGTATCAAATTTATATAAATTCAATGTTTATTTACCGGTTTTAGACATGCTTTTCGGCAACAGTTTAAAACAAAAACGGGAAATTCACTACCGACATTTAATTAGAACTGTGTCAGTTGTTTCTGCGATAACTATACATACATTTATGTATGTGTCTGTCCCTCAGAGTATCAAAAAATTGCATTATATGAACATATATCCTTATAAAAATAAATCAGATTCTAGAATTATAGAATTAATTATATTTTTGAATTGAAACTCTTTTATGAGCGATGGGAGTAAAAATTGGAGGCCAGAAGATATTATATATATGGATGATAATGTTACATATAGCGAGGGGAACTATCGAATGAATTAGACTATCGAATGGTTACTGAATGAATGATTTCAACTATCGAATGGATTTATTCGAATAAAATCATTCATTCATTTGTATACTAAAGCATATGTGACAACCTCGCCGTACAACTAAATGGTTATCGTTGAGCCACGACTATCGAATGCTTTTGATAAATGAAATTTAGTATTCGTTTGATTTTTGTGTACGTCAGTGCATTATTAGTTCTTCCAAATTTTTATAACTTTTTTTGAAATAAGTGGAAGGGGTTGAAATAAACTACCCCTATCATTCCTGTTAACAAAATTTAAAGAAAATCTTATCAAACACATGCAAAAAAATAATTTGGATAGTTTTGTTTCTATAGAAATTTTTTATCTCTTATGTTTTTGATGAAACTCACCGATTTGAAATTAAAAATAAAATGTAAGCATTACATGTCAGGACAAAAAACATTTTTAGATAAAGAATCTAGTGGGCTGCTGTAATTTTTTAGGAAAAATCTAGTCGGCCGCTGTCACTTTTTAGGATGTTTCTAATATTTTATTTGACATTACTCTACTGCAATACGTTATTATCTTACGATCAATTAATTATTCTGAAGCTTTTTATGATCTATTTAATTGCTCCAGCAAAGACGTTGTGTTTTTATTTGAGTTGCAATGTTTAAACATTATTTTTTAACGATATTATTTTGTACTTTCGTGAATTAAAATACAGAATTGAAAATTGTCTTGGTAAATATTTTTCGTTCAGAAGAAAATGTAACGATATTATTACGAAATAAAACTGTTTGACAGCGTCCCACTAGATTCTTTATCTAATTTTTTTATATCCTGACATGGCTTTATATATTATTTTTAATTTCAAATCAGTGAGTTTTATCAAAAACACAAGAGTTAAAAAAAAGTTTCTAAACAATCTAAACTATCCGAATTAATTTTTTGCATCTGTTTGATGATATTTTTCTTTAAATTTCGTTAACAAGAACGATAGGGGTAGTTTATTTCAACACCTTCCACTCATTTTAAAAAAGTGAAAAAAATTACCAGAAAGTGTGTTTTCATAACAGTAATGCTTCCATAAAATTTCATTAATCTATCTCTTTTCGTTTTCAAGATAAAATTAAAACATTATTTTTCCGCCATCTTTGTACCGCGATATCTCCCTAATGGTTGACTTTTGACCCAACATTTATGAAGCAAACTACCCTTTATTTTGAACAGGGAATCACCTCCTGAAGTTTTTCGCATTTGTTTTGAAACATCCTTTATACAGAAAAATCTTATCAAACACATGCAAAAAAATAATTTTGATAGTTTAGTTTATTTAGAAACTTTTTTATCTCTTGTGTTTTTTGATAAAACTCATCGATTTGAAAATAAAAAAAAATGTAAAGCATTACATGTCAGGACAAAAACATTTTTAGATAAAGAATCTAGTGGGCAGCTGTAATTTTTAGGAAAAATCTAGTCGGCCGCTGTCACTTTTTAGGATGTTTCTAATATTGTTTTATTTGTCATTACATTACTGCAATACGTTATTATCTAGATTATTATTATTATCATTATTATCACTAGATTCTTAATCTAAAAATATTTTTAGTCCTGACATGTAATGCTTTACATTTTATTTTTTAATTTCAAATCGGTGAGTTTTATAAAAAAATACAAGAGATAAAAAGTTTCTAAACAAACTAAACTATCCAAATTAGTTTTTTGCATGTGTTTGATAAGATTTTTCTTTAAATTTCGTTAACAAGAATGATAGGGTAGTTTATTTCAACACCTTCCACTCATTTTAAAAAGTGAAAAAATGACCACAAAGTGTGTTTTCATAACACTAATGCTTCCATAAAATTTCATTAGTCTATCTCTTTCGTTTTCAAGTTTATAAATGAATGGTTTTTGCTGCCGAATTACTAGAATACCATATTTCAAGGCAGATGACGCATCTATTCGATAATTTTTATTCGAATAGTTTTCAACGAATGTTTTTTTACTAGCTATCGAATTATTCGAATGAATTGCAACTATCGAATGTTTCGATAGTATTCATTCGATAGTTCCCACTACTAGTTACATACACACGTTTAAAAATTTATGACGTCATCTTTTTTAAGAAAACGCCCGAAATTCGGATGCATGAAAACTGAACTTAAACGTTTTGATATTTTGACGTAACTAACTTACCTCTTTTTGTTTCCTAGCCTACTACTATAATTTTTAGACTATATAATCCTGAGCGGCAGCCTAACATAATTTTTGTTCTCTTAATATCTCCGGTAAGAAACAAGATAGAAAATTGCGGTTTGCGCTGATATTTTGGAAATTTTGTGCTCTATTTAACTGTGTAAACAGAAATATAGCCTCCTATTTAATTTTTTTATGCAAAAGCGCAATATCTGTTATGATGTCAAACAGTGCCCTCTAGCTACCACGAAAAAAATGATGAAAACAAAATTTATACTGGAGATCATTAAGGAAGAAAAGCTCTTTTAAACGAGCTCTAGTTTGTTTAAATCGGTTTACCTGAACTAGAGTTATCCTTATTTTAATAAAAGCAAGCTTAACCTTCCCCCACTACTTTATTTTATGAGATAGAGCAAAACACTCTATACCAAAAAAATTACAAATTTCTCGATGATTACAATAGTAATATTTAAAATACCTGTTTACCTGCATATTTTTGAGAAAAAAACCGTTTTCTGATTGGCTATCAGCGAAACGCCCCCTAGCGGACATTTTTCGAACTTGAAAATAAGTTCCAGTGTTTTCTCTTGGTCGATTTACTTATTAGAATTTTTTTCCCAAAGTTATACGATAAGTCGTTTTTGAGATACAGCCGGCGCCCATTCTTAATTGGCCACCCGGTACTTTAAATTACGAGGGTCCAAAGGAAATACATTTTAAAAGAGGTACCTAAAATGAAGTTTATTTAGTATTCTGTCTATAGAAAACCCAGTTGTTTGTTTGCTTTTTTATCGATCTGAGGTGTGTCCGTCCCGCTCAAAAACTGTCCCTGTCGCCGTTGAAATGCTAATTTCGACCGATAAATATCCGTTATCGCTTTCGCGAGCTTCCTACTAAATTCAATTTCCTTCTAATTTAACACGAATTCGAAAAGTAATTCGTTCGTGTTCGTTTTGTCTCGCCTTAGTCAAAACCACGGTTTAGAGGAACAGAAGTGCCAAAAATAATTACATAATTTGCATTAAAGTGAAAGGAAAATAAGGTTTAAAGATT